GGGACCAATGTTTCTATGTGTAGATAAAGAAGACACACAGGGATATGTTGGGGGACAGAGCTAACTGGAATGGAACGGCCATGCTGGGGAGTGGTGGTAAAGGAGAGAACATGCTCAGCATGCAACATACACATAGATGAAAACTAAAACCCACATGAACAAGGAAGCCTGTCTGAGGTGAGGATACATGCTTGTACTCTCAACACTCAGGAAGTTACAGAAGGCTACGAGTTTGAGGCTAGCCCAAGCTACAAAGTGAGTTTGAAGCCAGCCTGAGGTACACTGTGAGATCCTGTCTCAAACAAACAAAGCTGAACAACAACAACAACAAAATAGTATAGAGAAAGAAACTGAATTATCTAATGGACCATTGTACATGATCCAGTAGGAATGGGAACAAGTTTTCTGGAAGACGACAAGGCAGGGAAATCTCAGTAGAGAGACGGAGGAGTCAAACAGTGCTTCACATAACTGTTGAAGGCCTGGATCAGGTAGGTATATGGGGAATGGAGAGGTGCACACAACTGAGAGATGTTAAATAGAATCAGCAGACTTTGGTGATACAGTGAATGTGGGGACAACAGAATGGGCTGGGGGATCTTTAGGGGTGCCATCGGGAGAAAGCAGAGTGCTGAGTGGCGAGAGCCTGTTTAAATGAGTAGTTATTGGAAGGCAAGGTCAGAGATCTGGGAGGAGGTAGGTAGGGGAGTGGGATGTAGATACAGGGGCCATCTACTTCAGCACCCACGCTGAGGAGTGGGTGATGTAGCAGGACACAGAAAGCATCTGGGGACTGACCCTGGTGTTGGGGTACAAGGAGAACAACTCAGAAAGAAAAGGTTGTCGATGGTCTTGGATGACGCAAAACTAAGGTGTGAGGATGATGGACACAAGTTGAATCTTTCCCAGGCTTGGACACTGATTTAATGCTGCTCCAGGATATTGAGCATCAGAGAGCAGGCGTGAGGGTAGGAAGGACCATGCATGCATTTCTATTGCTTGGAAGCAAAGAAAATGAGGCGATAAGTTAGCACTTGGTGCAATTCATGTAGGATGAAGAGAGGTAGCGCTCTAAGAGGACAAAGGGAATTTGCAGTAAGGAAGCCATAGAAGGGGCTAGAGAGATTTCTACATGAGGGAATGCTACATCCTGCATGGCTGAGTAGAGCTGAACACAAAGAGGGAAGGCGAGCTATCTAATAATAAAATATCACACACAATTTAACATTTGAGAAAGCCGGGGACCAGGAGGCTCCGGGTTCTGTAGAACAAAGAGCACTGAGTCTCTAACTCTCAAGGTTTTATTGACAGGGATGGGGTGCTCTAAGCAGGCCTTCAGGAACAAATGGTGTGCCAATCAAAAGACATTTCTCTGCAGGAGCTCAGGAAGCAATAAGAAACAAAGTGTGGCCTGTTTGTAAGGTACAGAGTAGACATTTCACACAGCAGTGTAAATAAGTCAGAGATTTTTTTTTTTTACTCTAAACACAAACATTAGGGACACTGCCATTCAGAACCCTGCATGGCATACATGCCTATCTGGCTCTGCCGTCATAGACAATCTTGGCTACTGGTGATTTTATACATGTAATCAAGCATGCTTTCTGCAGAGTCCAAACAGGGCAGTGGTCTCCAACAAGGGATGCTATGGAGACTTGTGTGAGTGAACACTATATTGCTGCCTTTGATTGACTGGAGCCACTTGGGTGGGAGGAGTTGTTTACCTGTGATAGACAGGACTGGAGATCTTACACACTACACATCTCTTCTCTCCCAGAGGATGATAACCAGACCTTCCAGGCAGGTTGGAGCTCAGGCCTACTGCTTGTACATAGACTTTGTTAATAAATGTGTGATAATTTCTCTAATTCTTAGGTGACTAGGTCATTTACTTACTGTAGACTTAGCAATAGACTTACTCTGGCGCCCCGTCTACCTGTAAGAAAGATATTTCCTAAGGTAGTATCAGGTGGGGGTGTATCTCAGCAGTAGAGTACCCACTTGTGTGCACACGGCACTTGGTTCCATCCTAAGCATGTCAAAAACAACAAGAAAATCAAAAGGTAATATCAATGATATATGATATACAAGTGTTACCATAAACATAGAGTACATTTATAAATATGCAGAATTGGCCTTAGTTAGACAAAATTAAATAAACCAGCATAACATGGGTGAAACAGAAATCCCTGAGAGAGTTCCCTGAGCAGAACTCCTAAGCAGTTCTCTTGGAGGCGGCCTGCCAGGTACAGTGTTACAGAGTTCAGGACCACCAGGAAAGACTACCCAGACTCACAAAGTTCCAAATCAGCCAAATTAAGCTTTTACAATTTTATTAAAATTTTAAAGAAAAAGAAATCCTCAGGGAAGGCGAGCTGGTAATCTTGGTAGCTGCCTTGAGGAGGTGAATGGTGGGAAGAAAGAAAGCCATGAAGATATGCCGGTTTAGAGCCTACGTGGGAGGTCAGACAGTGGCTGACTGGCAGCCACATGGCTGGGAGAGGACGCTTTAGAGAAAAAGTAAAGAAATAGAAGATGCTAGGGGCAGCCCAAAGCCTTAAAGAAAGCACGTTTAGTAAAGGCATGAAGAAAAAGGGGAATTACGCTTCCCTGAAGAATTCAGGGAAGCAGGCAACTCACAGACTACACTGCTGTAGCTAGGAAGTTCTGCACCCTTAGGCCAGACTCCAGGCAGGACAAAACTGGCTCTCATTAATGCACTAGGTATTCTGCCCATCTATATAGCATGACCTGCCTTCCTAGGGTGGTCCTATGACCAGATGACTGACCAGTTAAACTTACACAAAATGGAGGCACTCAGGGTATTACAACAGCATGCAATCAAACATTTAATAGCAAGTAAAACCTTTTGTTTAACAGGCCCCCAGAGAAAGACTGTACCTCTGCAGCAGATTTTCTGAGAAGTGCTTTTGACTTTCCCTCTGTGTCTTTTATTTTAATGCCAATTGGGACTCAAATCCCATGAGAAAAGATCTAAATTTCAGAGGCTGTTCAGAAAGCCCAGAGCTGGGTAAGTTTCCCTACCAACAGCCTGAATTTCATTTCAGAAAGGAGCCCCAGCACGACTTTATAGGCTATAACAATGCCTTTGGTTTGAGTGACTGTGTACCTTTAAGGACATACCTCACAAGGGACAAAACACCCTAGCAGATGCCTGCCAAGGTTTCCTAAGAGTGTGGGGCAGACAAGTAGCAAATGCCTAGTGGCCACCGCTGTGATTTCAGCACTTGAAAGGCTGCAAAAGAAGCAATGAGAGTCTGAGGCCTGTGCAGGCTGCATACTGAAACTCTCTTTTAAAAAAAATTAGAACTGGAGAGATATTCAGCAGTTAAGAGTACTGGCTGCTCTCGCAGAGGACCCGAGTTCGATTCCCAGCGCCCACATGGCAACTAACAACTGTCCTTAATGCCAGTTCCAGGGACTCCCACACCCTCTTCTGACATCCGCAGGTGTTAGCGACACAGGTGTCCCTAACTACATGGAGGCAATACACTCATACACATAAAATAATAAGTTGGAGACTGGTCCCAGAAAGTGAGTTAGCTCTGTTTCTGACAGGAATGAGGAAAACTTCTTTAAATTTTTTCTTTCTATCCTTTCTTTTTTCAATTCAAGGATAAGATTATTAGAGTTTAAAAGAAAAACATCAGGGAAGGCAATACAGAAATCTCAGCAGCTGCCTAGAGGAGGGGGATGGAGAAGAGGAGAAAAAGTCATGGCTTTTGAGTTAGATGAAGAGGTCAGCGAGGAGCCACAAGACAGACAAGCAGCAACTTTGGGTAGGAGATTCCGAGACACTGAGGAGACCGTGTCATGGAAATCATGTCCAGCGCTAGCCAGAACTCCAAAGAAAGAAAGACAAGAACATGGACAAAATGAAAAGTTAAACTTTTTTGAGTAATTCAGAAATTCAGGCAAGCTTAGTCCAGCCGCATGGCAGGGCAGGGGCTGTGCAAGCAACTGCCTTGCTTTGCACTGTTTTCACTTGGGACCTTGAATTCCAAAAAGTCTTGAGATGGTCATGGCCAAAGGAGTGAGGGATTTTAATGGCATCTTTCCCCTAAAGTAAACAGATGGACTTACACAGCCTTGCAAAGTAAAAACAACCCCTTTCACATAAATGAGCAGTTACACACGAGAAAATGGTGGGATGTCTTAGAAAGGGGAAAGCAAACACCTTCAATTGTGGATCCTTTAACAATTTAAACAGTTTATGCAGAGTAGCTCTCCGTTCTTTTCTCAAATTCCCATAACACTGTATCAGTGAAAAATCTGTACTCCCTGGGCACCTTCATGAATGAAGCCTGTATAAATGATAAAGATATTATCTTTGCCTTTGCAGTTTGTTTCAAGAATTGCCTGTGGATGTTGGAATATAGTTTTCCTAGATGCTTCTATTGGGTTTTCTGGAGACAGGCTTAGGAAAAGGTTCAGGTGGTAAACTGGCTAAGCCACAAGGTGCTGAGACCCTGATGGTAAAGATGGGCAACCTGGACAGTTGTCAAATGTATAGATTTCCAAGTGAAACCTATAGGCTATAGGTTTGATTCTGCTGTGTGTGGTGACCTCACATCAGGCTTTAAAGGGAAAGGAATGCCAGTCCTGATTTTTCTATTTTCCTGGCACCTGTACTTCCATAACCTTCAAGGTTATGGAAAATTCAAATAAGACTCTGATAGGACAGGACTGAAGAAAGAGATGGATGAGCTCTAGCAGAGGTGGCGGGGCAGCGGTTCTAACACCTCTCTCAAAGCAGTATCAGCCAAATTCCAATGCCTGGGAGACGGAGTTTCCTATAGGCTCCACGATGTATCTTCATCTACTGACATTGAAGGGAGAGGTTACAGCCTGGAGCAGCCACAGGGGTGTGTGTGCACGCACGTGTGTGTGTTCCCCCTCGCCCCAGGACACACAGATCTTCTAGTGAGGGGTGAGGGTCTGGGAACGCGGCAGCAGTGCCACCAGCAGGACAGGAGGTATCAGTCCTTTTCCGCTTCGGAATGAACCTCTTCTGTGGCTGGAGACAATGGGGAAGCTGGAGATGTCGGCTTACTCGGGGTCGGCTCACTCGGGGTCGGCTCACTCGGGGTCGGCTCACTCGGGGTCGGTTCACTCGGTTGTTGGGTATTGAAGTCCAGGACAGAAAATGCAACTTCATCCACCTGGAAAGTATGAGTAGAGTTCAGTGAAATCAGTGTCACAGGTCAGAGCCTCCCTCAGATTGCTAGTGATCCCACAGCACACTACTGCTGCCTTCGTGGAGCAGTGAGCTTTAGGAGAGGGTTCTTCTCCCTCAGACTCTGCTTGCTGATGTCCTGATGCGTGATCATTAGAAGAGAAAGACTATGCTGTAGATGCCACGGAACAGGGTAAGACAGCGCCGAGAATGAACACAGCAGAAATAAACACAGCACAGATGAGTCTCACAGAACAGCGCTGAGTGAAAGAAGTCAGACAGATATATGGATGTGTATGATGTTGACTACCATTGCCCTTTGTAGGGAAGTGACAGGAGAGTGTGCTTTTTGGTGAGGGAGAGAGGCCTTGTGAAGTAAGTTGATTTGTAAGCTCCTCACAAGTATGCTCAACTGGTGAGAGCTCACACATTATGAGTGCCTTTATTATTTAAGCACATTTCAGTATATGTGTATATTGTTGAAAGGTTACAATGATTAAATTTTATTAAAACTATTTATAAAATGAAGGAGCCAGGACCTCAGACCCTTTAGAATGGAATCCATCCTTTGATAGTCAGAGCAGGTTGAGACTGAGGGAAGACAGGAGAATGACGTGCTTCGTTTCTTATTTGGGATATTGTACCGGGCGGTGTGTGTTTGTTAAACTCATTTAATCCCTTAATCTCTTTTTGAGGTCAGCAGAATGCCCATTTTAAAAGAGTTCAAAGTCCAGGGCTGGAGAGATGCTCAGCGGTTAAGAACACTGGTTGTTCTTGCAGAAGGCCCAGGTTCGAATCCCAGCACCCACATGGCAGCTAACAACTGTCCTTAACTCCAGTCCCAGGGGATCTCACAGCCTCTTCTGACCTCCGCCGGCATTGAATGACACAGGTGCACTTACCTACATGCAGGCAATACACGCATAAACATAAAATAAAAATAATTTAAAAAAAGAGTTCAGGTTCCTGGTCAAGGGCCTCAGAGTACTAAGAATCACAGGTGGGACTTAAACATAGCATGGAGATATTTCCAAAACATGCATTCTTGTATGAGACTCAAAGGAAGAATTAGCCAATCTTTCTTTACTATAACATGGAGGACTGTAGACTTGAGCTTGATCTCACAGTTGTGTCTCCAAGAATACCTCATTCTCAGTCCAGTGTGGTGGCACACACTTTTATTACCAGCACTTGAGAGGCTAAGGCTGGAGGACTGCCACAAGTTCAAAGCCAGCCTGGGTTACATAGTGAGTTCAGAACCTGTCTGAACAAACGAAAAAGCAAGCAAGCAAATCAACCCCTGCCCCCAACTACCCCATCCTCTCCAGTGGAATTTCCACGAAAAACTAGCCAGGAAAAGTGCTTACCTCATTTGGGCAGTTGTCATTGAAGCCCAGACCTGCAGAGCAAGAGAAGAGTTACCAATGCACGGAAACGCAAAGCTGACCAAGGCTTTCTGATTTCTGTAACAGGTGGTATGGTTGGGATGCTGAGGGTGGTGGCCCATGATCAGTTAAGGAATTAACTTACCTCAGAACCTGTGGTCCAGACTCAATGCATGAGGGACAGAGAAAGAACAGGATAGAGCCTACTCTGAATTGCCCACTTCACAAGGCCTTGATTTCTTTTGGCCAGATGTGATTCTCAATGACATGCTCCAGAGGCAAGGAGGAGCAGAGAGGTCCACAGCACCCAGATCATCCAAGAGACCAGAAGCATCTTCCCAAAGGAGAATGTCCGTGTCTATAATGGAGTCAGGACGGCAGAATGCAGAATGACTCCTAGAAATCAGTTTCCTTGGGCCTTTCTAAACAAGTCAGAGTTAGTCTCTCTCCAGGGATGTCTCAGTGGACTCCTCTGTAGCAAGGAAGGGTGTGAGGACTTATGGGATTCTTAAGGCTGGAAAGGGAAGACCCTTGGCAGAACAGGACACATGGTAGAACACACAGATTCTCACTGGGAGAGCGGCTTTACTTACTGTGGTTGTAGGCTGAGGGTGTGGGCTCTGTGACACTGCAGTAGTAACTTCCCCTAAATAAATATCAGACAGTGTTAAGTACTGTTCCCATCAAGTCCTTTGTTCCTTGAGGGGTGCAGGGATGGTCACCGTGGGCAAACAGTTCTTGGGAACTCCTCGGTGTCAGTGCTGCCCACACTTTGCTTGGTGCTACCTTTCCTTTCCTCAGTCCTTAGTCTAAGCGTGATCTCTCCTAGTGTTTGTTTCCTTCCCGTTTGCCGGATGTCCATATTTGGTCTATTTCATCCTCTGGTGCTAGTGATGACACCCAGGGCAAGTGGTTTACTACTGAGCTACATCCCCAGTGCTGTACAGCCATGATTGATTGACTGCTTCTGGCCCTGTTCTACATTAAGTCCTCTTCTGTTTCACTTTCCACACATAGATTCTGTTTATTTATCCGCCTCATTCTGTTGTCCAAGAGGTCCTGATGCTTCCACTCCACCCTCAACTCTCCTCCTGCCTTTTCGCTCCCTCTCCCTGAGGCCGTGGGCAGCAGGGCACGTGACTTGCTTTCTCTTGCTGCCCCTTTGATCCCCTCATTTATTTTTCTTCTTACATTTGCTTCCTGACCAGGAATTGGGGGAGCATAAGTGAATCCTTTTGTGTAAATTATAAAAGAAGGGACTTCAAAGAGAGAGTGGAGCACAGGGTTCATAAACACAAGGAGGCTGAACCCTGAAGAACTGCTACCAAGAAGCAGAGGTTTAGGAAAGGGGACGAGGATAGGGTGAGACCCAACCTCCATCGGTGTAGCAGCTGTGATCTCAGCAGACCGCCAGGCCAGAGAGTACTGGGTTCTGGCCTCCCTCTGGCATAGAAGTTGAGAACACAGCTAAGAGAGTGCCTGAGAGCTCCTAGATCCTGCTTCCACATGGTGAAGCCTTTGAGAGGGAACTGACACTGATTCTAACCATTCCAACAGCTACCAAAATATCTGAAAGCAAATCCTGAATCCATCACTCTAGAGTCCAGCCTTGGAAGACAAAAGAAAAATGAGGAGGAACCCAATAGAGGGATGCTTTTGGAAGTTCTCATCAAGAAATCAAAATGGACTCTGATACGGACATTTGAAATTTGCCCTGTTCTGATTTTTTCTGGTTCCCCGTCTAGAAATTGTAATGCTAACTACCCTTGCCTTTACTTCTCCTTCACATCCCTGTTCACCAGTCAAGGACTTTCTTTTCTCCCTACAGAAAAGAGTTATGCAATTTGGGAGTCTTTTAGATAGACCCAGTGAAGGGGTACCCCAATTGCTTTACCCTGCATCCCTGTTGGGCATGGAAGAAGCCAGAGCGGTCTGCGTCCCGATTCCCTATTGGCAATTTGGGCCACCTCTTCAGAGGATGGTGTGATAAGAGTAGGAGGTAGGAACTGGCTAGGCAGTTAGGGTAGAAAAGATCCCAAAGAAAAGTAGCCAGTTTCTTGGCTAACTCACAATGTCCTTGGGCCTCTTAGCAACATACTCCATTCCAAAGGCCAAAAATGTCGAAAAGTTATTTGGGAGCTTTTATCTAATCCTTAAAAGATTCCACGTTGGCAGATCCCAATCACCTATAAGTCCAGCTCCAGGGGGTCTAGTGCCCTCTTCTGGCTGCTTCGGGTAACTGCATGCACAAACCCACAAACAGACACACAGACATGCGCATAATTTTTTTAAAAAAATATAAAAAATTAAATAAATCAAAGAGGAAGAAAGAGCACACGAAGTTATCAGAAGAATGTGATAAATAAAAATAAGTAAATCAAAGAAGCATAAAGAGTGCATGAAGTTATCAAAAAAAAGTGATGGGGAGATATGGGAGAAGTTGGAGGGGAGAGAATGGGCATGGATTTGATCAAAACACCTTAAATACATGTATGAAATTCTCAATAAAGTTTTTTTTAACTTAAAAAAAAAACGGAAAAGGGAAGGGGATGAGGAGAGCCAGCTCAGGGGCAGAAGTAAAGCAGTCCTTCCCTCTCCCAAGCATGGTGCTTAGACTTGAAGAGAACAGAAGACCAGCATACTTCCTAGAATTTTGGAGATACAGGAAACACGCCAGTGCTGCTATCAGAACCACCCCAGCCACAGCTCCAACCATGATGCCGGCAGTGGACCCAATTAAGAGGCCACAGCTTTCTTGTTCTGGGTCAACTGTCATGAGAGAAAAGAAAAGGAATGAAAGTGGAAGTATTTTACAGCGGGGTGTCCTGGAGGAGCGCGCTCATCCTGACGTCAGCCTTATCTGTTCCTTCAGGGAATATTTTCTCTTCAGGAAGATGATTAGGTGCGTTGAGATACGAGGTGATTAACACGTTTTTCTCTCCCACTGTATAAGTCATGCGTGTACATTCCTTCAAATCCTGAATTCCATCAATTTCATTCAAAAGTTTTGGAAATGTGAGAAATGGTGCTGGCTGTTTCCTGTGGTAAAACTTCCAGTGTTTCATGGTTTCACCTTTTTCTCAGTGTAGTTCTGGCAGCCATGGAAATGTATGTGCCTCTCGGGTGTCTTGTGCCAAGGACCTGATTGACAGAAGGCCCCAGGCTAGTGAACTCTCAGTACACCATCTCTTGCACAGAGGCCACAATTTCTATGGCTTCCAGTAAGGCAGAAAGCAAGCCAAATTCTCTTTTTTGTGTAATTTTTAATTGCATTTTGTGTGTTTCATACAGAACACGTTAACTGTCTTTATACCCCCTTCCCCACTGGCACCCTCCCATAGCACTCCCCCACTGGATTTCATACATTCTGTCATTTGTGTTAAGGCCTATCAAGTTAAGTTAGTATCCCCAGACTGTGTGGTACTGTAAACATAGCCAAATACACACGGCTGGGGAGGTCCTAGATCTTAGAGAAAAATCCCAAGGCTGTCGCATCCCTAGACAAATGTAGTTTCTTACTGTATGTTAAATATGGATCAGTATCCCAGTCACCACTCATCAAAGAAGCTTCTTTTGCAACAGAGGCTATTTCAGAATATTCTTCCACTAGTACTTTGCATACATAATCCCATTATGACTGTATCTCAAAGGGTGAAAACTAATGGCTACCAGGCTTGAAATGTTGCATTTAGCTACTTTTCGTCTCTCACACACAGTTAGTAGCCATGTGACTACCGTTTCACGTTCTGGGTGATGGATCCTCTTTTTCCTGGTCACCATATGTAGTGCCTTTTCAGCCTCTTCATTTTTTCTTTTAACCATTTGAGGCTCAGCCCTCAGCAATGTACTCAAGGTTGATTACTCAAGGTTACTATTTAACAATGGCTAATACGGGCCATTGTTAAATAGTACTTACAGTGCACCCAGACTCTGTATTTGTATCTCATTCATTTGATCTATACAATAATGCTTTCACATTGAAATCCATTTTAAGGATGAAAAAGAAAACACTTAAAGTGGTTTAAAGACAGTAGGAATTGCAGGTATTATTTACAAAACACTTCCTGCCATGAGAGCCTACATGATTATTGCCAAAGAGCTACATGATTATTGCATTGAATCTAGAAAACAGTAACAGGAAGCTGGTACTCAGATTCAGTTGAGGAATCTAAGGGTCAAAGAAATTAAGAATTATGGGCAAATCCTGTATTGAATTTTTAAAAATTATTTCAAATCAACAATCTGACTTTAGAGTTCAGGGATATTGAAAGGAAATAAGTGAAATCCAAATCTAGTGGAAGAGCATTTTGGAGTCTGAGGCAGGAACACTGCAAGTTTGACACCAGTCTGGACTGCTTAGTGAGACCCTGTCTAAATAAAAAGAAAAGCTGGGCAGGTGGTGCACGCCTTTAACCTCAGCACTTAGGAGGCATAGGCAGGTGGATCTCTGTGAGTTCAAGGCCAGCCTGGTCCACATAGTGAGTTCCAGACCAGCTGGGGCTACAGGGAGACACTGTCTCAAAAAGTACAAAAAAGAAAAAAGTTAAAACAACCAACCAGACAAAACCCCCCACAAAAGAAAGTTAAGGGAAATAAGGAACATGAAATAAAATAAAGTTGAGAGGGCCTGAGAGAGCCTGAATCAGGCCTCTGTGTGGTGGTGGCAGTGGTGGTGGCGAGCTTCCCAAAGCCCATCCCCTACATTGGGACCACCAGCAGTTTCCCAAGCTTCTCTACTGGCTACTAGGGGCCTAGACCTTTGGAGACTGCTTGAGAGAGCTTGAATCAGGCCTCCTCATGGTGGTGAGGTTCCCAAATCATGCTGTGCCTGCTGTGCCTGCCCAGATGTTAAAAGAAAATCTGAGAGTACCTGACTAGGGCTTGACTTGGGCCTTTGTGGGGTGAGCTTCCCAAATCCTGTTGTGTCCATCCCCCCTCCTCTGGGACCATCTGTAGTCCCACCCACTGCTTCAGGGCTCAGGCTTCCCTCCTGACTAGCAGGGACCAGCACTTCTCTCTCCCATCCCCTTTCCTTGGACCTTGGCACTTCCCATCTGAGGGTTCTAAAATGCTCCTAACTAGCCAGGGATACTTCACCCGTTTGGAGAGCTCCTGAGTAGGTGGATCGGAGCCATCTGGTCCCTCCAATATAAAATCAAAAGAGAGAGCTTGAAGCCTAAACTAACCACCTTTTCATACCCAATCAGAAACAACCAAAGTACATCTATAATACAAACAGAATCAGACTTCAACTCAATAAAGAAAGTCTTGAGTTTCATACCAGAATCACAAACAACAAAGAAATCCACATACAAAGTCACAACGAAAAAATAATAATATGAAAAGACAAAAGACTATGCTCTCACCAAACACTACCAGTCCCACAGAAGAGTTCTACAATGAGAACCCCCTAGACATAACACAGGACATGGAATTCAAAAGAACAATTATAAATATAAGAGTATTCAATGAATTTAAAGAACACAGAAACAAATCAAAGAAGTGAAGGAAAATGGGGATAAAATTCTGAGTCAATGTAGAAAAGGGAAATATTGAAGAACACTCAGACTGAAATGAAGAAAGAAGTGAAATATTCAGTAAGCCAGTTTGAAATGACAGTGGTCCAACCCCAGCTTTAAGGCCTAATAACTACATCAGTGACCAAGACAGCAAACTGTATTGGTACAGAAGTGGCACTTCTATCTTGGGGGTAATCAACAGCTACCTAATTGAACTTAAAAGCCACACAATGGGAGGAAAGTCATGTGTGGTACTGTAAACATAACCAAATACACATAGCTGGAGAGGTCATAGATCTTAAAGAAAACCCCAAGGCTGTCATATCCCTAGGCAAATACAATTTCTTACTGTGTGCAAAATATGGATCCTTATATTTACAGACAAGTATCCCAGTCACCACTCATCAAAGAAGCCTCTTTTGCAACAGACAGAGATAATTACAGAATTTCACAACCGGTCATACATGGAGATTCACTGTGAATTGCCCAAGCCTAAGCGACATATCTACAGTGCAGCCTCTATACCTAAGGTTCACGGAACATAGTGGAACAACGGGTAAAGAGAACACTATTGCATCTCTCAACTCTGATCAGTGAAGCTCCCTCACGCAACAGAGGGCCATCAACACAAAAGGACACAAATGGCCAAAGCATAGAGAATAAGAGTCTGCAGAGTGTGGGACCTTGGACAGGACTCCTATATTCAACTCCATGCACAGAGACCATCGCAGAAGAGGGGGCAGAAAGATTGTAAGAACCAGGGAGGAGGGGCAGGACCATAGGGAAATAGGGTCTTACAGGTTCCTAGGACACTCCTCATATGAACCCGCAGCAATAGTGTCAGCATGCACAAGACCCATGCAAACCCAAGCAGAAAAATACCCAGCATAGAGCTGTGGAAATGGATAGCAGGCCCCAATTTTAGTCAAAGAGCTATTGGCAACTGATTATTGCTGGGTGAGGACGAGCTAATCTTCTTGAAGGGAGGGACTCTAGAAGGCTGACTAGACCTCATTGGATGAAGTTGCATTGAGGGACATCTGGGGACACTAACCTGGCTCAATAGACTTTAACACAAATGACAGAATGGGGGGAGGGTGCCAACAGGAAAGGGGGTATAAAAATGATTAAAATGTTTTGTATGAAATACATAAAAAGTCAATAAAAAAATTTAAGTAGAGAAAATCAATGAGCCAAAAGTTGGTTCTTCTTCAGAAATGATCAACAATGAGAACCTTTAACTAAGTTAATGTATGTGTCTGTGTGTGTGTGTGTGTGAGAGAGAGAGAGAGAGAGAGAGAGAGAGAGAGATTACTAAAAACTGGAAGTGAAATGTAAGATATTAGTACCCAATATTCACAGTAACAAGAATTTCAAGAATATTCTGAATAGTTAGTTATGTGCTGTTGGATGACCTAGATAAAAGAGACAAATTCCTAGAAACAGCCAAATACAAATTTGGAACCGTGAAGTAACACAAAATTTAATATATTTAAAAGTAATAAGATTGAATCAAAAAAATATTTGATGAAATTTAACAGCCTTTAAGGATTTTAAAAAATACTTTATTATTTTTATTTTATGTGTATGAGTGTATTGCCTGCATTAGGTAAGTGCACCTATGACATGCAATGCCCTTGGAGGACAGAAGAAGCCGTCGGATCTCCTGGAACTGGAGTTTCGGACAATTGTTAGCTGCCATGTGGGTGCTGGGATTCGAACCCGGGTTTTCTGCAAGAACAACCAGTGTTCTTAACCGCTGAGCCTTCTCTCCAGCCCACCTTTAAGGATTTTTAAAAACCCACTGGAGCTAAGAATGGAAGAGTATGACTCCAGGACACTAAAGGGCACATGGGAAACCCACAGCTGGCTCAGTGAAGGTTAAATGCTCTCCCTCTACGATCAGGGACACGAGGATGCTGCATTTACCACTTCTGTCCAATCTAATGTTAAAAGTCTTGACAGAAGAATTAGACAAATTAAAGGCACCAAATTATAGGCAGTAAAAGCATATGTCTGCAGATTATATGAAATTAAAATCCTGAAGATTCTACAAAAGTTGTTAGAACTAATGAACAAAATCGGCAAAATTCAGAGCTAACAAAATGAACACTCCCATAGCAATTGTATTTCTATACACTGACATCAAGATGAACAATTTGATTTCCTTTTCTTTCTTCTGGCAGTACTGGGGAATGAACCTAGGGCTTCAAACACATTAGGCCACTGAGCCACAGCCACAGCCTAAACCATGAGCAATATGAAAGGAATTAAGGAAATAGTTTATTTATGAGAGCATCAAAAAGAAAGAACTAGAATTAATTTCACCAAGGAAGTAAAAGGCTTCCACCTAGAAAGGTGGAATTCCTGCTAGAGGAGATGACAAATGACATAAATAAATGTAAAGACTTCTCATGGTCCTGGATTGGATGACTTAATTTCATTAAAATGTTGTTTGCGTTCTAGGGATTAAACCCAGGGTCCTGTGCATGCTAGTCGAGTGCTCTACTACTGAGCTACACCCCCAGAACCCACACCTTTTATTTTTATTTTGAAACAGGGTGTCACTAAGTTGCTCAGGCTGGCCTTGAACTTACTATGCAAACCAGGCACTCTTAGAACTTGTGATGTTCTGCCTCAGCTTCCTGAGTAACTGGAATCACAGGCATGTGCCATCATTCCTGAAAAAGACAAGTTTCTAAAGATGACCATATTACTGAAGTGATCTATGGATTCAATGCAAATCCTCTCAAAACCTCAGTGATCTTTCTGTACAGAAAGAGAAAAATATATTCTGTAATTCATGTGGAATCTCAAGGGACCACAAATTGCTAAAAGAATCTTGAAAAAGAATAGAATTGAAGGGTATACTTCCTGATTTCATAATTTAATACAAAGCTGCAAAAATCAACAGTGCGTTATTATCATAAAGGAAGACACAGAGGCCAATGGAACAGAATGGAAATACCATAAATGCTCACATATACTGTCCAATGATTAAATTTTAAAAGTTCTTGATACATAATAAATATGTATATTTGTAAGGTATAGCATAACATCTTAGTACATATGTATATTTAAGGTGTAGTCAGATCAGAGCAGTTGGCATGACCATCGCCTCATTTATCATTTCTTTATGTTGGGAATATTCATCTCTGTGAGTTGTTTTGAAAAAACAGAATTAACTGTTGTCAAGCAGAGTTGTTCTACCGAGTTACAGAACATTAGCAGTTATTCCTGCTGTCCAACTACACCTCTGTGTCCAAATGATTTTTTACTGGGATGTTAAGACTGTTCGATGATGAAAGAATTATCTTTTCAACTAGAGATGTTGAGAAAATAAGATATTTAGGCAAAATAATGAAGTTAAGCCTTCACCTAAGAGCATATAAAAATTAACTCTAAACAGATCAATAGCCTAAATATCAGAGCTAAAAAATCTAAACATTTTAGAAGAAAACAGGATGAAAGACTCATAAAATTTGATTTGGCAATCATTTCTTTACTGTGAAGAAGAGAGCAGAATGATGGTTACCAGAGACTCAGTGGCAGGCAGGAGGGAGTGGGACAGTGGTCACAGGGCACTATGGTCCAGACAGACAAGGAGGACAAATTTTGAGAGAGAGGACATGGCAGGAGATCAGTCAATGATGATGTAGATTTCAGAGTAGCTAAAAGTAAATTTCAAATGTTTTACTATAAAACAATAAATAAGGGAAGTAATGGCTATGTTAATTGGTATGATTTAATCATTCCAAATCATATGCAGATATCAAACATTATATTGCTTTCCCCAAACACATATAATTATGATGTCAATTTTTAAAATCATAACAATAAGCAAAGGACTTTATCAAGAAAATGAAAAGATGACTTTCAGAATGGCAAAAAAATTGCAAAAAAACATTTGATAAAGGTTAGTGTTCAGAATATATAAGAAATTACTGCAAGTCAATGAGTCTAACAAAAACAACCACAAAACCCTAAAAATTCAGTAGAAAAGAAAGGACTTGAACAGATATTTTCTGAAGAAAAAAATGGCCAATAAGCCCATGTAAAGGTGTTCAACATCATGTATTCACTAAAGAGAAATCAAAATCACAGTAAGATACTACCTAACATCCATTAGGATAGAGATTATATTAAAAATATTTATTATTTTTATTTTGTGTATATGAGTGTGTTTCCTGTATGTATGTAAGTGCACCCCTGTCGTGCAATGCCCATGGCGGTCAGAAGAGGGTGTTAGATCCCCTGGAGCTGGAGTTAGGACAGTCATTAACCACCATGTGGGACTCGAACCTGGGTCCTCTGCAAGAACAACCAGTGCTCTTAACCACTGAGCCAAGTCTCCAGCCGAGGATAGAGATTATTAAAAACACAGACAAAAATAGAAAACTGTTTTTGAAGATCTAAAAATGTGGACTTCTTGTAGATGTAAAATTCTTGGACTAAAAATGTAACTGTGAAACATGGTACTGTGGATCTTCAAAAACTGAAAGAATTATATTCAACCTTCAATATTATTGAATTATATTCAATAATTCTGTATGTGAGTATATGAAGAAATGAAGCAGGGGATGTGAACTGGCATTTGCTGACCTCTCTTCACAGCAGTACAAAGGCAGAAACAATTCAGTGATCACTAAGAGAATGAGTAAGGGAAATGAGATGCACACAGTGGTGCAGTCATGGAGTAGAATGCCATAGCCTAGGGCAGTCTCAAAGAGTAAAGGGATGAAATTCTCACACATGGTACAAGGATGGGCCTTTGAAGATACCGTGCTAAGTGAAGTCAACCTGAGAAAAAGCACAAATACAGTGTGATTCCAGTTGTGTGTGAGGCCTGGAATTGTCACATACCTAGAGACAGAAGTAGAATGGTGATACCAAGGAGCTGTAGAGGATTCAATAGCTTTAGAAACACTTTGGTAGTAGATAATGGTGATGGTTGCACAACAGTGTGAGAGTGCTTTATGCCATGGAGCAGTGTGCTTTAAAATAGCACACACACGCACACGCACACGCACACACACACACGCACACACTCACAAACACAATTATATATATTATGACACAGAAAGAAACAGTTAACAGAAAAAGGAATACTGTACAAAGTCACAGTGCAAATGCAGTATCAGGATAAGAAACTGGGTACAGTCAGTCCTTTATATCCACCGACTTTACAAACTGGGGATCAAAACTATAGGAAAAAAATTGGAAGCTAGAGAGATGGCTCAGCGGTTAAGAGCACTGGCTACTCTTGCAGAAGACCCAGATTCAATTCCCAGCACCCACATGGTGGCTAACAACCGTCCATAACTCCAGTTCCAGGGGATCTGATGCCCTCTTGTGGCTTCTGTGGCCATTACATGTATGTAGTACACCAACATACATGCAGGCAAAACACTCATAAAATAAATTTGAAAGCAAAACATGTGCACAGTGAAAAATGTACAGTCCTCTGTCCTGTCATTATTCCTTAGTTAATACAGTGTCTATGCAGCATTGCTACTGGGTATTAGAAATAATCTAACAATGATTTAAGTGTCTGGAAGGATGTGCACAGTGACATGCAAATGCTGTGCCATTTTAAATAGCAGATTCTGAACATCCACATGTTTGGGTATCTGTGGGGCTTTGGGAACAAAGAAGCAATGGATTCTGAAGGCTGATTCAGAGCCTAAGCACCACATTGTATTTCTCCTTACAGTACTGAGGTCTTATTTTGGAAACAGGATCTCACTATGTATCCCAGATTGGCCTCATACGCTTACCTTTTCCCCATGCTTTATCCTGGAATTATGTGCATTCATCACCACGTTACCTCTGTTTTGTCTACGTTAGTATTTTTTATTGTAATTCTTATTTATTTTGTACACCATTGATTTAAAAAAAATCCCCCACTCTGGGGGATGAAGAAAAAAGAGGTTACTCACAGCTTACTTCCAGATGAACTGGACGACTCTTCTTGTAACTGACTGGGTTGGTGACCTCACACTGATAGTCCCCGGCATCGTCCATCTTGACAGGGTTTATGCTGAGCCTTCTGTTGTTCTGAGACAGTGTCATCCTCTCCGGGAGCTGCAGACGCTGGTTATTGAAGATCCACTGGGTGGAGATTACAGAGCCTCCTGAGTGGCACGTGAAGACCACAGAGTCTATTTCTATGACTGAGGTTTTGGTGGTTTGAACAGTGGCCTCTGTCACTGGCCCTGTGGAAAAACAGAGGAAAACCAACTGTCTTAATTTGCTTTCAATTGCTGTGACAAAACTCTCTGACCAATACCAACTTGGGGAGGAAAGGGTTTATTTGACTTACATCTCCTGGGTCACAGTTCATCACTGAGGGAGTCCAAGGTAGGAACTCAGGGCAGGAGCCTGGAGGAGGAGCTGAAGCACAGGTCATGGAGGAACACTGCTTACCAGCTTGCTCCAGTGGCTGTGCTCGGCCTGCTTTCTTGTACAATGCCCACCGTGGGTTGGGCCCTCGCTCATCACTCAACAATCAAGAAAATATCCCACAGCCATGGCCACAGGCCAGTCCAATGGAGGAAATTCCCCAATTGAGGCTCCCTCTACCCAGGTGTGTCAAGTTGATGACTAACACTATCCAGCACAACATGGAAGAATAGTTCTTCCTCAGAGGTCTCAGCCAGCTCTCAGGGCCCACAGTATAAGGTGTGAGGTGGCCCAGACCCTCTACAAACTCACATGTCTGGTTCAGGATACAATCTCTAAGTAGAGAACTGCATTTCCTCTGACCAAGATCATCCAGTGACCCTTCATCACCCAGGATGTCTTTGTAGATTTCATACCAGTAATCTCTTCTCAGCCCAAACATTTAGAAATTTCATTAGGTAAAATATTTTCCCATGGAGCTTTGTGCAAACTCTTTCTAGTCCTTTCCCTAGTGTGATCAGGCCCCTCTGTTATAAAGTAGATTTCTGTTTCTTTTTCATTCAATAATTTTCCATGGAATTAAGGTGGCCCAGGCATCTTAACATATTAAGGACTGACTTTAGCATTGGAAGAAATTCCAAAATAATTTCTGGGGCTGGAGAGATGGCTGGGCAAAAAAGAGCGCTGGTTGCTCTTGCAGTGCACGACACAGGTGCACTTACATACATGCAGGCAATACGCTCATACACACAAAAAATGTTTTTTAATTTAAAAAGAATTTCTATTTTCAGGAGAATTTTATTTCCAAGCCCATGGATTAAATATCACATTAAAAGAAATTTGAAGAGGTGAATGGTCAGCGTGTTAACAGAAGCCGGACACTCTAGTTCTCACTATCAATATCTTTTGGTATTTCTTTTCTTCCCTGCTCCACACAGAGGCTCCACAGTTAAGTTCCCTGTTCTCCAAGTGACCGTCCCTCTCTGCTCTCTGTGGTCATCACACGTGCTGCTGTCCGCAGCCTCACCCCCCTGGGTCTGCAGAGCCACACAACTCACAGCCATTGCCCCCGAGGTTCACTTTTCCCAGGTCCCCGATCCTGAACCCAGGGATCCTCTGATGTCCATCAGTGACATGTCCTCAGTTTTTTTTTTTTTCTTAAACATGAGAAGAGGAAGCAAAATAGCTACATAAATTAATTAGCGAGATATTTGATCCTGATTGTGGACAGGCCTGTCAGGTACCTTCTCCACCCACCCCTTCTGAGCAAAACGGAGTCAAAGAGCCTGGTGAGAGAAGGGGGGGGGCAGAACCGGAAGCAGAGCTCTGAGCTGCCTGTCCCCATCTGTGGTGTTTTCTCCGCTCATTTGGAGAAAGCGTGTGAGTGTACTTCAAAACCTCAGTTGTTCCAGAAGGCCACGGAGTTCAGAAGCAGAAAGTGGAAGGCATGTGTAAGCATTAGATAGTGACGGAGAGAAATCTACTTGACCTTAATGAACCTCCCTTACCACTGGATATCCCTCCCTCGGACCTGAGACTTTCAAGGGCGGGAAGAACCTAACATTACAGGCTCACTCAGGAGAAATCAGAGTAGCCGGAAAGGAAGAGGAGACTCAGGAAAGCTCAGAGGAAGATTGGAATTTGCTCATACCCATGACCACAGGCTGGGAATAAACTTCATCCTCATCTTTCCAGAAAACAAAAAGACTCCATCCATCCAAATCTTGCTACTACTATTATCAGGACTCTAGTTACCAAGGACCTGTAATTTTCTTGTCTGCGGTTCTAGCAAGGCCAGTGGCAGTTATGGAAATTCAGGCATAGGATCCGCTATATTAATAGTGATGCTGGGAATAAGGAGCCCTTGTAAGGATGGCTGGTGCTTCCTGGTGATAAGCTACGAATTCTGTATAGCTGGATCAGAAGCTGTGTGGCAGGATAGGTTGAAGTTTGTCCCTGCATTGAAATTTGAGTTGAAGGTGATGTGATGGGGATGTCCAGGGGGATATCAATGCATTCTGGACCAAACAGAATAAAGTCAATGTGATACCATCAAGGGGAGTGGAAGCTCCTTCTCTATAGAGGCCACAGTATCTCTCTGAGCTGTGCTATAACCTGCATTAAATGCATCCCAATCATGGATAGGGGTGTAGATAAGTGGAAGAGCACTTTCTAGCATGCACAAGGTCCTGAGTTCCAGGGCCAGCACAGAACACACATTAAAATGTCCCAGTGTCCCATGTTCACTGAGCCTGAATTGAAAATGTCTTCTGTTTGTTCCTCACAGGTAGACCTCACACAGACCTCACACCCCGAACCTCTCCAACAGGCAAAGTCCCTCTCTCCCTGTCCTAGTTCCAGGCTGGGCTTGGCTAGATATGCTTGAGCTAGGACAGGGTACCACAGCCAGCCTAGGTGTCCATGTGAGTGGGTCTGTGTCATGAATCCCAGGGAGACTAAGTGGCCTGACTAGAGTCCTGTGTATTTAGGCATTTGCAATCCTGAAGGAGTAGAAGTTACTCATAAGTAACACTGACTGGGTCACTTAGGTTGGTACTCACTGGGTTCCAGGTTCCACACACTCATAGGGCCCTGTTTCATTCTACTTGACACTCAGTAAACTGAGAGTCCCGTTGCCCTCAGACAGCTCCAGCCTGTCACCATCTGAGAGGCTCTGACCATTTACCCACCAGAGGTAGGTTGTGTTCAGAGTCCCAGGTTCACACATTAATGCTACAGAGTCCTCACCCTCCATGGGATTGGAGTTGTTTCTTGTGATATAAGGCTTGGGTAACTGCTGTGTGGGCAACAGAGAGAAGGATGCCTTGTGTGATGCCTTTGCACAGCCTCTTTGCGCTAGAGTTGCCCTCTCTCCCATCCCTACCAACTGAGTCCATAAAAAGCCTGGCAGGAGGTGAATCACAGGCAGATGCAGGAGGATCTGAGTGCTCAGAGATGGCGAACCACTTCTACTGTGTATCAATAAAGCACAGACTTTCTCAGGAACCTGTCCTTGAGATTTGATGTATGAACAGACATCACACAGAAGACCAGAAGCAAGTCTGCCATTCAGATCAGTAGTCAGGCTGGGCCACAGGTGGGAAATTCTTTTCAGGTATTTGATGGTGACTGACATGAGCCTGGGTCAGTAAAAGACAAAGCAAGAGTCCAAAGAGTGACCTAGGAGAGTGACGGGTACAGACGGGGTTTGGCTCAGAACCACGTTCTTGTCCTTGGGCATTAATGTCCTTTCTCAAATGGGTGAAGACCACTTGGAGATCTTTTCTAAAATGTGGGTAGATGTTTTCAAATGCAGATCTGCGTGAAAAGGGAAAGGGACTTGCTGTAACTCTTGCCTGATGGACCAGGTGTGCTTGACAGATCAGAGATAGGAATTTGTGATGCTAACTTTCTTCCATATAGAAATATTGTTATTAATATTCAGGATCTAAATCTAATTTCTGAAAAGAATACTTCCATAAAATATATGCTAAGTTCTTGGGCCAAACTCTGAGTGCTGCAGTGTCACGTTATGACCAAAGACAGATGCTAAAGTGGGTTTGAGATCAGTGACTCCTGAGCATAGTGAGTCCCGTTGGGGACAGAACTAGTCAGAGAGTGAGTGTGAGGTTTTTCTGTTATATAAAAGGAAGATCTAGGCATGGTGGCCCACACATTTAATCTCAGCACTTTGAAGCAGAGGCAGGCAATCTGTGAGTTCAAGGCCAGCCTGGTCTAGATAGTGAGTTCTAAGCTAGCTAGGGCTACGTATTAAGACCGTCTAATAAATAGTAAGGAAAAAAGAAAAGAAAAAGGAGAAACAGTGCCATGTGTCCGTGCTTTTTGTCATGTGAGTACATTTAGGGGAATCTATGTGGTGGGAAGTGACCCACCACAAGTGGGTGAGATGCTTTTCTGTTTCCTTTTCTATGGACCCCAGAAACCACAAAGTCAGTTTTATCAAATTCTTCCAAATTGTTCAGTCTAACTGAATTGATCAAACATGGGTGAGATGACCCACCTTGTGACAAGGTGAGGCACAGCTAGGTGTGGAAGAGGAGTTAGTCCTGGATGCGTCACCTCTCCCTTGGGGAAGGTCCCTAGAACCACTTGAGGAACATGAACCCACACTGGGAAGGGGATGGAGTCATGGGTGAAGTCGGGGAGGGATGCAGGCACTTTAGGGCCCATGGCCCTGTCCTGCTGCCTCCAGCCCCTGGGAACTCCGCATGGAGAGTGGGAGGAGGTGCTTCTCCCTGCCTCTTGGCTTCTTCCACAAGTCACTGCAGAAGCAAAAAGTCCTAGGCAGAGACACAGTGTAGGCTGCTTCACAGTGGGGAAAGCGGCACATTATGGAACCTCAGAGGTCGGCCTGTTTCTACTGATTTCTGTGTCCTTTATTATTACTTCTGTAGGACAGCCTGATGCCAGGTGTCAGTGCAAAGAGAACAACACAGGTAGCCATTATGTGGGAATGGTACGGGAGCAGCAATCTAGGCAGGGCAGGGTCAGAACTACTTGGAATGAAGAGATGATGGCCAGAGAAAGACCAGAAAAAACCAGACATGTTTACAACAGTAAAAATGGTGGTTAACTTCAAAGACTCCAGGGACAGATGTAAATGGATCCTCACATCTAAGCCAGTGGCACCCCGAGAACACTTACAGCATCCCCAGAGACATGATGTTCCATGCTTCCTCAGGTAGCTTATGAGTACAAGGCAGAAGGATTGAACAAGAATCTCAGCTTTCAAGGAGGACAGGGAGTAGGAGAGGCCAGACCTCCTGGAACTCTGCATATATCTTCGGTATCTAGGTTCTAGGTCAGTCATCCATCCATCCATCCATTCCAGCTTAATCATTCATTCATGATTCATTCCTTTCTTCCTTCATCACAAACACATTACTTGGTTACACACTGTTCCCTATGCTGGTTGCAGACTCTAGTGGGAGAAAGCAAAGTTCTCTCCTTTATCCTCTAGGACGAATGTCACCCATCACACCAGGAGACATGATTTCAAGTCCAGCGAGAGATAATATATGTCAGGAAGGCCTGAATGTCTGTTGAGGTTGACAGTTTTGTTCTAGAGTAAAACCTGATTGTTCTTTTGCTGTCCCTTTCTGGACCAGAGACCCACTCCGAGCACCAATGCCTAACATTAAGTCACTGCGGAAGCAAAAAGTCCTAGGCAGAGACACAGTGTAGTCTGCTTCACAGCGGGGGAAAGCGGCACATTATGGAACCTCAGAGGTGGGCCTGTTTCTACTGATTTCTGTGTCCTTTATTATTACTTCTGTAGGACAGCCTGATGCCAGGTGTTAGTGCAAAGAGAACAACACAGGCAGCCATTATGTGGGAATGGTACGGGAGCAGCAATCTAGGCAGGGCAGGGTCATTACATTAAGGTAATCTGAACCCACAACTTTCCTCTAGCCCATAGACACCTAATACAGCCTCCAGGGTGAAGAGGTTGGGGCTGTGACAGACAGACATGTCTTGTGCCTCAGATCTGCCATGTGCCTGTGTGACCCTGACTCAGTCACTGTATTTGCTGTGTCTCATTTCTTTATAACAGGATACATGGTAAATGATAGTTGCCATGTCTGTAGTTTGACCTTAAATATTAATAGTGACCTGGCGCTGGGGCAGGAGAGCTGCCCAAATCAGCAGCATCTTTACTATCCGCCTGCAAGAGAAAATTCTTTGGACTGGACACCTGAGGACACAGAGCTGTCAGATGTACCTTTATCCTCTGCTCCTCACCTTGAGGACACTGACCTTCCTGTGGAGTTTCATAAGCCCCTCTGAGCAGTTGGCTGATGGCCTGGGCACCTATCCACCTGTGTTCTCCATGCTGCGTCTCAGGAGGAAATGCTCTCCAAGTCATCTAGACTAGATGTGGCTCTCATGGTAGGTCACTGGCTGATTCCACAGGTTATGAGACTCAGACAGCCAATAAATCAATGTTTCCTGTCAACTCTAAAGGGAGGTCAAATTCCAACCCAGCTCCCAAGCTCCTCCAGGGTCACCTGGTTTCGGAATTCTGGAAGAGCGATCTGGAGCCAGGGCTCTCTAGCACTCACTTCTCAGTGGACATCCCAATGTCCGTCCTCTCAGCCAGGCCCTGCCTGAGTCCCACAGGGTCTTTCTCAGGGCTTTGTTCATGGAGAGAGTCCCAAGAGTGTGGTCTGAGGATGGTTCCCTGTTTAAGTTAGCCCAGCACACATTCTCCTCTATGCAAAGTCGACTCAGGTGAGGGATTCTGATCTCTCTCAGTTTGTCTCCACTGTGTGTGTCTTAAACTAAATGCTGAAACCATAACATAGGAACATAATGTAGAGGGGACACGGGCACTGTCCAGTCCTCTGTGTGCGCAGTGGGATTAGCCCCACCCATTACCCCAGAGGTCACAGAGTCACTCACGGTATACATTGAACTGCACAGATGTTTCTTCAAAATGGCCATCCGTATCTAAGGTCAGTAATGTGTAAGAGCCTGTGTCTTCGTGCGTGACATTATCAAACAGCAGGGATCCATTGGAGTATATCGTTTCTCTGCCACTGTGTGCAGGCCCTCTCTCTCTCTCTCAAACTAGTTGTTGTTATATATTTTGCAATTTGACTGTCGTTGAATGATGTTCTCCCTTTGTACCAGTGAAAGATGAGAAGATTCCATGGCAGGTTGTGGACAAGCAGAAGAACGCTCTGCGGTATATTGTCTCCTGCCACTGTGCGCAGGTCCTGGCTTACTTGAATTACGGGTTATTATATATCGTGCAATTTCTCGGTCATTGAGTGAAAATTTCCCTTTATACCAGTAAAAGGTTTGAGGATTCTCTGGCAGATTGTGGACAAGTAGAAGAACACTCTTCCCTTCAGCCACGTGGGGTGGGACTGCTTCAATAGTGAGTTGGGCAGTGCTGGGAGAGTTCCAGAAGGTTAACAGTGAGGCTGGGAGGGAAAAAGAGAAACTCGGTAGTATTGATACCTTTGTGTCAGTTGGAAAGACGGGGCCCTTGTCCTCTGCAGGGCTCACCCCTCACTATCCTCAGATTCCTGCTCACACTCAGGAGGTCTGAGTGTGTATGAGGTTGGGGGATGCCCTCTCTCACCTCCTCCTCCAGAGACCCTTGGTCTCCACTTTCTAACCCGCTGCTCCTTTGTGGTTCTCATCAATCCCTGACCTCACCTTCTAATTCATAGTTTGTTTTTGTTTTAGTTTTTATTTTGAGAAATGGTCTCCCCGAATCCCCATTTGGCCTGGAACTCACTATAGACCATAGTGGCCTCAAATTCATAGAGATCCACCTGCCTTTGCCTCCAGAATGCTAAGATCAAAGGCATATACCACCATGCCCAGCTTGACCTCACCTTCTAGATGTCATTGCTAGTCGGTATTCATTTTTTTAAATTGTATTTACATTTTTATTGAATTTTTGTGTACTTCCTATATACATCATCTCAGTCAATCTTAGTCATCTTTATACTTCCTTCCCCATGGCACCGCCCATACTCCTCCACTGGAATTCATACATTCTGTCATTTGTGTTAAGGCCTATTGTGTCCCCAGACATTTCTCTGTGCAGTTTATCTACTGAGGTCTAGTCAGCCTATCTAGAGCCTGAATAAGCCAATTAGAAATGACAGAAGAAAGCCTCACCAATAGAACAAATAAAATGGAAAACAGAATATCAAGACTGGATGATAAAGTTGAAGAATTGAACCGCTCAAGCAAATATTATGAAAAAATTAAAATAACACAGGAAAGGAACATGTGGTCTGTATTCTTGTCCACTAGAACAGTGCTGTGTGAGGAGCTCATGTCTAATCTTTCTTTGAACCCCACTGCCTGCCTGGATCCTAATCTTTGGTTGAACCCCACTGACTACCTGGGTCAGGCTCAGATACCTGTGTGTGAATGAATGGGTGTTCCAGGGCCCCATCTATGAGGAGCTTATTTACAAATTTCTCAGGGTAGTAACTGAGGACAATGTTTAATGCCCCAGTTTGATTTTTATTTTGAGAATCACCCTGGCATAATGTAAATTCCTGTCTTCAGAAGATAGAGGCCATTAGTGATGAACTTAAAATAGAACACTTGAACTTTTCCTCCCCATTAACCAATTCCTGTTCACTGAGGCCTTCCTGTTGGTGAGCCTCTGTCCTTTCCTGGACCCCTCTCAGGTTCTTTCCCTCCCTTGGTGACTCCAGCCAGTGTCTGCGCTTCTCTCCTCCCACCCACTCCCAGGGAATGGTCCCATCACCTGTGAACAGCAGCCCCTGCCAAGGGACACACCCTGGGGATGGAGGGGCCGAGAAGGGCTCCATGGTCTCTGCTCTGGTATGTCCTCCCTCTGTGGGACAAGAGCTTCAGCCCCAGCACTGTTCCCAAGCTCTGCTGTTAGCTCTGCTGTCCCTCCTCCCTCTGACTCAGCCTCCTCCTAGGCAGGAGCATCTCCCAGAATCACAAGGACTGTAGGTGGGGTCTGTGTCCAGGACCCAGCTCTGTCCCCTCCTCTCTCAGGGCGGCCAGCCTCCCTCTCACCTTTGTCTCTTCATGGTTCAGTCCCCTAGAGCACAGTTTGAGCAGCAAGGCTGATAGGGATCCCTTCCCTGACAGACATCAGCTCACCCAGAGCTGACCTCTGCTGTGTCCCTGCCTTGGGTCTGTCGGCACCAATAAGGGAGCCCACCTGCCCTCCCTAAACCCAAGGTGCATCTTTGTGAAGTACAGCTGAGCCCAGTCTCCTGGGTGTTCTCAGGGCTCTGGGAAGTGGAATTTACTCCCAGGAAGGTGGCAAAGTAACAGAGATGTCTCTGGAGCTAGAAAGGGACCAGCTGAGTGCTGACTGGTGTGTATGTGTGGTGGGGGGTGGGGGGAGACAGATCCATTATTACTGGTGTCACCGGCCATGTGTCTGATCCAGGACAGAGGTCCAGGGGCAGTTGTCTCAGGAGTTTCATATCCTGGGTGTACATGAGGAGGTGACCTCCATGTCTTGGAAAGAGGACGGAGAGCTCCATCATGCTGTGGAGTGTTCAGGGAGCCCCTCCAGCCTCCTGAGCTGGCTAAGCTATAGCTCCAACCTGCCCATGTTCTCCCTGACTTCTGGGATACCTCTGTCTTCTGCCTGAATGATTCCCCTGTGGTTGCCCTGTCTTTCCCCAAGAGTGAGGGGGCTGCATCGGACTCCCTGGCAGAGTGGTACTCTCAGAGACACATGAAAGAGACAGTAGGTCAGAGCAGGATTTTTGGAGGGACCTTCAGATCTGTTGAGGCAGGAATGGAATCTGGGCTACAAAAGTTCTTGATTCAGGGACAGAATTCTGAGAGTTGAGTCTGTGTCCCAATGTCACTCCCTGGGGCTCCACTGGGTGATCTGCAGCTCATGTCAGACTATAGCAAGGATTGTGACCAGGCTCCAAATGCTCTGAGCATCTTCAGTGATGGAGCTGAGCCCAGGGGACTTCCCAGTGGTAAGCTCTGGCCTGTCAGAGACCAGAACCTTCCAGGCTCAGCCTAGCACCTGCTCACTGAGGTTTGACCCTTGATGATCCTCTCTTCCTGTCCCCTGACATCTGCCTTCTCTCCCCCCACAGGCCCCCATCCCCAGCCCAGGGCAGCTGTTCCTAGCTGTCAGGAGAATGACCGTCTGATTCCTCAGACCCAGGATCTGTACTTACTCCACACCAGGATGAGCTTTGAGATTAGGAGACAGCAGTAGAAGAGCAATCATGGGTGACAGAGAAGACGGGGGAGCCTGGGAATGGGGACCCAGAGCACAGCCAGGGCAGAGAGTGGCCCCAGGTGGGCTGGGAACTGGGAGATGCTAGACACTGTTCTGAGCAAGGCACAGAGCTCATAGGCCTCTCTCATTCTTTAACAGGAATTACTAAACTTGATGCAAATACTTATGTCAGGATCAACCACACAGCAGATGTGGCTTCTCAGAGACCTCCAGAAACAGTAATATATGAGTCAAAATAGAGTTCCTTTAAAACCCAGACACAAAGGGGTGGGACAGAGATGGTACCAGGTTTGGTTCCCAGCACCCACGCAGTGGCTAACAATCATCTGTAACTCCATTTCCAGAGGATATAACGCCCTCTTCTGGCCTCCACAGGCACTGCATGTATGTGGTACACTTACATACATGCAGGCAAAGCACTCATACACATAAAATAAAAATAAAATTTTAAATTAGGATTTTTATCTTCTTGTTTCTGAGTTATTCCGGTTCTTTACATATTATAGACATCAAGCTTATCATATATATTTTTCTCTTCCATTCTATAGGTTTTTTCCATCTCTTGATAAAATCCTTTAGTACACAAAAGTTACCTTGATAAAATATCATCTTTCTGTTTTTCATTATGATGTTCATGCTTTGAGTAATATTGAAGAATCCATTACTAAATTCAAGGTCAAGAAGATTTACCCCATCTTTTCTTCTCAGAGGATTTGAGGGCGTATGTACCTGTGTGTTCATGTGTGTGCATGTGCGTACACAGCGGTGTCTTCTTCAGCCACTCTCCACCTTGTTTTTTGACACAGCCTCTCTCACTAGCCTGGAGGTCAGTGATAGTCATCCTGACTGAGTCATGAATACAGGTCTTCAGAATACAGTATCCAGCCATGATAAACTTGGACTAGGGAACAAGCGTACTTTTCCTCCCCACTTACCACTTCTGTTCGCTGAGTGCCTCCTGTTGCCGAGCCTCAGTCCATCAGTGTGCACTCTCCTCAGGCTCCAAGCAGAGGTTCTGTGGGCCCTGGCAGGGTCTTGTCCTCCCTGGGAGACCCCAGCTAGTCTCTGTTCACTCAGGGAATGGCTCAGCTAGAGTAGATGACCAGCAAACCCCATGGATCTCCCTGTCTCCAGTTCCCCAGCACTGGGAGTACAGGATCATGCTTGGCTTTTTTTTTTTAATTTTTAATGGGTTCTGGGGGATCAAATTGGGGTTCTCATGCTTGCATAGCAAACGCTTTACCAACTGAATCCTTAAGAGGGTTTAAAATTAGATTTAGTACTTATATCTAGCTCAGCGATGTGTTTTGAGTTAATTTTTAGTACAATGAAGCACAATTCTAAAATTTCACTACTTTGTAAGCGATTATCCTGCTGTCCCAGTGCCATTATTTGAAAACCTTCTCTTCATTCATTAAATTCTCATGACTCACTTGACAAGAGCAGTGTGGCTGAAGTGGTGAAGGCCCATTTCTGGCTCATTTTCAGTCTCTGGTGAATCCTATGCAAGTACCACCGCCTTCTAATTGCTGTAGCACTGTGGAAGAGTTTAAATAAGGAACTGAGGAGAGGAAGAGATGAACTGCTCAGCGGTTAGGAGCACTGGCTGCTCTTACAGAGGACCTGGGTTCGGTTCCCAGCATCTACATGGCGGATAACAACCCTCCATAACCCCAGTTCCAGGGGATCTGACACCCTCTTCTGACCTCCGCAGGCACTGCACGACATGGGTGCACTTATGTACAAACGGGTAACATATTCATACACGTAAAATAATGATAAAAAATATATATATGCATCTATATAAATAAGGAAGTGTGAGTCTCCAACTTTTATTATTAATGTTAGTTACACAAGCTGATGAATTGCATTCTAGCACTTCATTGTAGTTTGTTTATATTTACCCCATTACCCTTTTCTCCCCCTTTCCTCCTCTTACTGTCTCTTTCCTTTATTCAAATAATCTCCTTTCTGCTTTTATCTTTTCTATGTATAATATATATAGATACAGGTTCATAGAGAGAAATACAATACTTGTCTTTACCCCCCCGTTACTCTGTCTTGTGTTCCCTCCCCTCTAACTGCCTCCCTCCTCACCCCCAAATCGTCCCCTCTTTTTCACGTTATTTTTTTCTAGATTACTCATTTGAAACAAAGCATGTAATATTTGTCTAAGCCTGATTCATTTTGTTTACTATGATGATCTCCAGTTCAATACATTTTCAGGCAACTGATGTGACTTCATTCTTCTTTATGGCTGAGTAAAATTCTGCTGTGTGTGTGAGCTTATTTTCCATTCTCCTGTTTATGACAGCCTCGCCAGCATTTGGTGTTGGTTTTCTTGATAACAGCCATTCTGACTGGGGGTGAGATGAACTCCAAATGTAATTCTGATTTATATTTTCCTGATGACTAAAGATATTGAAAATATTTCCATATATTTATTAACCTTTTGTACTTCTTTTGATAATTCTGCTCCGAATATTTGCCCATTCATTGATTAGATGATTTGGAGTTCTTTTGGTGTTTAATTTTTTAATTTCTTTCTATGGTCTATATAGTAACCCCTTGTCCGAAGCATCTCTGGGAAAGGTTTTCTCCCATTCTGTGGGCTTGCTCGTCGCTCTATTGTTTCCTTTACTATACAGAAGCTGTTTTCGACTTCCTGAAATCCATTTTCCAATCCTTGCTGTGATTTCCTGCATCAATGGAATTCATTTCAGAAAGTTCTTCCCTCTGCATACATCCTAAGTGTTCTCCCCTAGAAGTTTCAAAGTGCGAGGTCTCACATGAAGATCTTTGACCATTTCAAATAGATTCCTGTACAGGTGAGAAATTGGAATCTGGTTTCATTCTTATGTGACTATCCAGTTTCCCCACAACCATTTGTCAAAGAGTCTGTCTTTAATGTATGTGTTTGTGTGTAGAGCTGGAGAGATGGCTCAGCAGTTAAGAGCACTGGCTGCTCTTGCAAAGGACCCAGGTTCAGTTCTCAGCACCCAAATGGCAGCCAAAATCTGTCCATAACTCCAATTTCCAGGGGATCCATCTCTGCCCTTTTCTGACCTCTGTGGGCATTGCAGGATATGGGTGCACTTGCATACATGTAAGCAATACACTCATAAAATAAAAATAAATAAATTTTAAAACAATAGTGTGTGCATACATGGGATGCAAACGAGCTCACCAGCCTGAGATTTAAAGTTTTGATTGTATAAGTCTTTCATGTTCTTGGTTAAGTTTATTTTTAGGTATTTTATTGATTCTTAAGGTATTGTATATGATTGTTTCTTTGATTTCTTTCTAAAGCATCTCCAATTTTGTTTGCCTTTTTCAATACTATTTTGAATCGTTTTTTCAAAATTGTGCTTCAGTAGTTCTTTCTCTAATTTTTTCCTTATTTTTGAGAATTTCATACAGATATACAATAATCAGTTAGTGCCGCCCATATGTGTATGGGTGTGAGCTATCCACTGGAGCATAGGAAACCTACCAGTGGCCTCATCCTCAAAAAGGATGATTCCCCTCCCCCAGCAGCTATCAATTCCATTAGCTCCTTGGTAAGGGGTGGGGCCTGGAGATCATCCACCCCATCTATGCCAGGATTTGGGCTGATTCGATCTTAAGCAGATCTTGTGCAGATAACCACAGTTGCTATGAGTTCATGAATGTGATAGCCATGTCATGTCCAGAAAACAACAGTTTACAGCACTCACGCGCCGCCTCTGCTCTTGCCTCCTCCTACCTCCTCTCCAGATATGTTCCCTGAGCTTTGTGGGGTTGTGGTTCCTTATCATGGATGTCTTGTTTAGGGCTGAGCACTCAGTCTCTTATTACCAGCACTTTTCAATAGTTCTTAATTAGGGTCTGTCTCTCCCAGGAAACTTGACCTCATCCTCCTTGCACAGATTTGGACAAAACTCAGTCTTGTCTCTGTCATGTTCACAGAAGTGTTACAACCTGCAGAAAAGGGGCAGGAGAGATGGCTCAGTGATTAAGAGCACTGACAGCTCTTACAGAGGACCCAGGTTCAATTCCCAGTACCCACAAGGCAGCTAACAACCATCTGAAACTCCAGTTCCAGAGGATCCAGTGCCCTCTTCTGTCCTCCGCAGGCACTGCATGATGGGTGCACTTATATACGTGCAGGTATAACACTCGTGCACATAAAATAACAATAAATATTTTTTAAAAACAACTTACAGAAAAGAGGTAACAAAAGCCAGGAAACACACACATACAAACAGAAACTGTGCGCTCTGGCCGCTGGAGCTGGGGGACAGTCTTTCTCCTGTCTCCAGAGTCCTTAACACCAACCACTTCACTCCCTGCATGGAAGTTCTCACAGAGATCTAATACCCACCAGCTCTACAATGAAGCCAGGGCCACAAGAATGACCACGCCCACGTCTACATGGAGCGATTCAAGCCCTACTGTGCACCGCCCCCCAGCCTCCCACGGAGTCTCCTCTTACCCTGCTTCCCCCATCCTTCCCCACGACCCCTCTTCCCCTGCCTCTGCAATCTTCTGTTCCATCACCTGAAGATGTCCTTTGTCCAAGGCCAGCCCCCCTGTGTCCTCTCCCCTGCTCACTTTGTTCTTCAGGCAGGAAGCATCCACTAGAGGGCGCACACGCTCCTCCTTGAGCCCATGTGACCCTCGTCATCCCTGAGACAAACACAGCTGCTCCTGCTGCCCCAACCCCAGTCCTCAGAGGGGCTCTGGGTGGAGCTCCTGGGAAGTCACCAGGCCACAAGGCGAACCTCACTTGGAGAGTGTGGTGACATGGCCTGGCCTGGACAGGAACAAGGCCAGGGGTCAGGTCATTGGGGAGGGGGAAGGGTCCAGGTAAAGTGGCTGAATACTCACGCTCTGATGCCCCCGGAACAGACTTCAGGTTCCATGCCCTGGTGCGAGGTGGGCAGTGGGGGCACCATCAGCTTGTTCCAGGAATTCTCAGCCTGTGCAGCTGCTGCAAAGATGTGCTGTGTTGGGAAGAGTTCCTTCCCCCAGGGCATCTGAACCCAGTTCCCCGCTGTCCCCACCTTGCTTTGTGCCTTTGGTTAGAAGGCCACACTCTCCTTGTAGGCCCTGCCCTTTCTGAACCCCAAACCCAAGCCCCGTCTATACTCTCACAGAGGTCCCTGAGCTGGCTGTTCCAGGGACACTGTGGAGGTTTTTCTATGTTTTTTTTTTTTTTCTTTTTTATTTTTGAGACAGGGTTTCCCTGTAACCCTGTAACCCTAGCTGGTCTGGAACTCACTATGCAAACCAGGCTGGCCTTGAACTCATAGAGATCCACCTGCCTCTGCCTCCTGAGTGCTGGGACTAAAGGCGTGCGCCACCATGCCCAGCGTGTAGGCATTCTTGTGTTTGTTTCTGCTGCTGATCAAGACCCTGAAAGTCCCCTGAGTGCTTGCGCTCCCACTTGCACTTGTGCTCTCGGGGTGTGTGTGTGTGTAGGACAGGACTGCATTGCTGGTTCAGGAGAGAGGCATCTCTAGGGGACAGTACAGGTGAGCGTGTTCTGCAATTCAGGGTTCACCCTAATGTGTCTCACCCTGGGCCTGTGTCCCCTATTGTAGATATACCTGGGGGCATCTTTCCAGGGTGATGTGGAAACACAAAACAGGCATGAACTTGTCCCCTCAGTAGCTGTCTCTCATAGGGTCTCATCCCCAGGTGTCCCTCCCCCATGGAAACCTCCTGTCCCTGATCCACACATGGCCCTTGAGAAGCTGTCTGTAAGCCAGGCTGTCTATGTGGCAGTGGCCTGTAGCCATGGGTGGGAACCTTGCTCAAGGCTGCCCCTCCGTTCAGGAATGTGTTTCATTCCAGGGCCTCAGCTTCATAGCTGGGCTCTCTAAACCCTTCTCCCCCTCTGCCAAGGTCATGGGGGCGGGTGCACAGCCTGAAGCATCTGCAATCTGTAGTGGCATCAGCCTTAGCTCAAGTCAGAGTGCAGGAGCCCCCACACCTCTTGCTAAGGAGAGTGAGAACTGTTGACTCCCAGAGTAGATCATGGGGTCCCACCTGCCCCGCATGTGATCGCGGCTCACCCAGTGAAAATACCGCTCATCTCCACAGCATTCAGGACACATCTGAGACCCAGAGGGTGAGACACTGAATGGGGCCTTAGGCCAACATAAAGACAATGTCCGTCTGTGCTTTTGGACATTTATTGAGTAATCCAAGTCCTGACACAAAGATCTTCTGCCTGATTTCATTGATTGTTCACAGCAGGTTTATAAAGAGAATCATGGTCATTGCTTTAATAAGGAGAAAAAAATAGATTTAGAGTTTAAATCATAGGAGGGGCCTGAAAATCACTAAAACCTCACAGTCACCTGAGGGTGTCACTCCTGGAACAGATTGAATTGAAGACCTCACACCAATAGTCCCCAGCATCCTCCCTTATAACAGGGTCTGTGCTGAGCTGGCTGTTCTAGGACAGTGTCATCCTCTCTGGGAGCTGCAGGCTTGGGTCATTGAAGATTCTAGATTCCCGTATCATCTGAAAGGCAGGTCAGATCACAAAATCTTGCCCTCTAATTGTGATGGTGGTGGCACTGGCTTGGCTGGAGGGCTCTGTCACTTGTCCTGTGGATAAACAGAGAAGGACTAAGAGTGGGGCAGGGACAGACCACAGTCTTCCCTCAGAGATCTCAGCCGGTCCTCAGGGCCACAGTGAGCTGTGTGAGTGGCCCAGAGGGTGGTCCTGGCCCTCTGCAGAGGTTTAACTGATGGTCTCTAAGCAGAGGGATGCATCTTCTTCTGACCCCAGGTCACCCAGGATGACCCCTATCTGTACATCTCTGTAAGACACACACCTGGAACTTCTTCCTAGCTCGTGTGTCTAGCACCTTGATCATGAGATCCTAATTTCCATATGACCTTTTCTAGAACTGTTTTGGCTTTCTTAAACATCAGATCCATCTCTTCACATCCACTTCCGTGTGTATCAAGGAAAGCTGGCTTGGGGGCCTGCCCATGTCTGGGGCCAGGGAAGATTTACATAAAACAGCTAGGCATTTATATTTGGTTAGGTCATTTACGGGGGAACAAAGGCACCACAGACAAGTGCTGTGGACTTAGAGCTGGAGACTTCCGACTTAAAGGATTTCTCAGTCTAGGAGGACTTTCATTTCCTGACCTGCGGGCTAAATGTCACAGTGAAAGAACTCTCCATAGGGAAGTAGTCACGGTTTCAACAAAAGACGGAGCTTCTTAGGAATAGAGGGAACTACCTGAGCACAGCAAAGGCCACATGTGAACATCTCAAAGGTCACCTGAT